CATATTCCTTCGCGTTTATTTTCCATCATCAACATTTATACATCCTAAAAAAAAAGGTCACAATACTGAGCCATTTTTACCCAGAAGACACCAAGTAAAAATGTGAATAAAAGACAAACATACAATTCCTTACAAGAGGCAAAGTCCAAGATCTAAGACATTCTCCTCTTAATTCAGAGGCGCAAAGGGTTTTCCTGGGTTAAGTACAGGGCCGCCGTTGGCTTTCCAGTCGTTAAAGGAACCAGCATATACCCTGTGGAGTAGAAATTCAATAATCGTGTGAATTACTTTAACGAGCGGGTTGGTAATCTGAGAAAAAAGGGTAGGTTGATGTAATGAGAAATTAGTAATAATGTTGGTAGTGGTAAGTAATGATAAACATAAATAGGAATACGTAAAATAGGTAATTTCTCATTTCTGTTGCTCTTCGTCCCACTGACTGATATGGAAATTAGTTAAAATAACTGAAAAATAAAAGCTAAATTCAAATCCAATAATGTACCGAACAATGAAAACAATGTAAACAAACAAAAGCAAGATAAATTCTAAAAAATAATCGATACGTATATTCACGAACCACAAGACACACATTTATATGAAATTTAAAAGAAAGTGATTTTTTTCTTTCTCTTCTCTCTCTGTCTCTCTCTCTCTCTCTCTCCCTCCCTCCCTCCCTCCCTCCTGCCTCCTTCCCTCCCTCCTCCCTCTCTCTCTCTCTCTCTCTCTCTCTCTCTCTCTCTCTCTCTCTCTCTCTCTCTCTCTCTCTCTCTCTCTCTCTCTCTCTCTCTCTCTATCTATCTTTCTATCTATCTATCTATCTATCTATCTATCTATCTATCTATCTATCTATCTATCTATCTATCTATCTATCTATCTATCTATCTATCTATCTATCTATCTATCTATCTATCTATCTATCTATCTATCTCCCTGTTTCTCCTCTCCTCTCTCTCTCTCTCTCTCTCTCTCTCTCTCTCTCTCTCTCTCTTCTCTCTCTCTCTCTCTCTCTCTCTCTCTCTCTCTCTCTCTCTCTCTCTCTCTTGGGGGGTAAGACTGCGTATCTCACCATTCAGCGTTGTGCGAACTGTGAACCGCTAGATTCGACTAGATCCGAAACACTGGAATAAGGGCTATATGCTTCGGACACAAGAGTCAAACTGGCGGTTCATTAAAAGAGGGAACTATTGGGAATTTGGGAGTATAGACTATAGTATGGTCTAAAACCCTATAAAAGAAGAAAGAAGAGGGAACAATTTATATCTGTGGTTATTTCCTCACGACCCACGATGTCGAGCAGTGACCATAACGGTGTCATGCCATCCGTAATAATGCAATAATGGAATACTAAGGTAATATTAGGGAGTAATAATAGTAGTAAATGATATGATGATGGCGATGATGATGATGACGATGGCGATAACCATAACTATTATCATAATAATAATATCTTCATATTAGGTGACGATTTCATATAACATCAACACAAACATTTAAACAAAACCAAATAAAAATAAATAAATAAAAATGAATAGATAGATAAAGATCGCAGATGAACCCACCTGGCATTGTAACCCATCGATTTGAGAAGATCCCCCGCCTTCCTTGCACGCCCACCCTTCGTGCAGTGGGTTACGATGGGCGTGGTTTTTGTGGGCTTCTTCAGACCGTATTTAGCCTCGAATGCATCTTCAGCCATCCCCATCGCGCTCTCCAACTCCACGACTGCAAGGAAAATAGGTTTTATTTTGGTGTTATTCCAGTGGTGCCTAACTTGTATCATTGTTTTGTTGTTGTTTTGTAATGCACATTTCTGTTATTTTATATATATATTATTGGCGTCGACAAGGGAAACCGTAAATCAGTTTATTGTATTTGATATAACAAATACTTACGTTATTTTCTGTTATATTGTCATAACATATGCTTATGGAGTTTTGAAATTAGGCGCTGCAATTCATGTACATTTATGTTATTATTGACTATATCATTTCACGATTAAATCTAAATCATATCACCGTACTTTATGCAGCTTGTAAAGTATGTTATCGTCTTTCATCATGGCTCAAGAAAATACTTTTTCTTCTACTAATCATGGCTCTAGGAAGTTTTTTTTGCGAATCACAAATCAAGAAAACCGTTTTCTTTTACCAAATATGGCTCAAGCAAACCGTTTTCTTTTACCAAATATGGCTCAAGCAAACCGTTTTCTACGAATCGCGTACCGTGAAAACCATTTTTTTCACCAATCATGTCTAAAGAAACGCGCTTTCATCCTCCCACCGTGAAACAAGAGTCATTTTCCTTAACCATCTATCCCTTCTTGATACCCACACGGCACGCAGTGGGAGCCGAGGATCTGGCCCTTCTCCTCCAGCTCGTAGCGGTTCCTCACGTCGAACACCACCAGGTCGGGGAAGGTGGTGGACAGCTCGGCGTATTCGATGTCTGTGGGAAGAGAACGGTAGGTGTGGGTTGATGTTTTGAATGTTTGTTATATCGT